GCCAAAGATTAGTTATTTCCTTAGCTTAAGAGTCCATGGTAACTGAATATTTACATTTTTATGCCTTTAATCAACGCTTTTCGGAAAAATCCACACAGAAATGAGTTCTTTAATGGGCATGAAAGGTGTTGAGCCAAAAACAAAAATTTGATAAAAATTCACAAACCCATGGAAAAATGCAAGTTTCTTCACTTTGATTGTTTTGACGAGAGCCTGATTCCACCACGCTGTCTCACATATGCAATTTACAAGCTTGTGTTTCTAGTCTGTAGTATGATGGTTCGAAATATCCCACAGCTTTGCTTTTGATCTGCTGCAGTTGGACATATGTGTCCGCTTCTTCCTTAATGGGTAAAAATCTCACCACCACAACTGCTACACAAACTAGAAAATCCAAAAGTTTCTTCTTCTCGCAGCAACGTCCAACCAACTGTGCAGCAGGTCCGGAACCGTACACTTCACTGAAATTCAAATGTCAGCTCACTCTCTCCCTCCCTCCCCATCCTTCCACCCCCTTCCTCACCCCATACCCCTCCTCTTGAAATCTCTGTCTCCCCCTCCCCCACCAATTCCCCCTTCTCTGTCTCTGTCTCTCTCTCTCTCTCTCTCTCTCTCTCTCTCTCTCTCTCTCTCTCTCTCTCTCTCTCTCTCTCTCTCTCTCTCTCTAGTCAGTATGTGAAAAGCTTATGGCAGTGCACACACGGTCGAAAATTTCATCAAATTCCTATTTGATGCGGTTCGATCGACTTCTGGGGTATAGTATAGAGATAAGGCCCTTCGTCGTAAAAGTGATCAGAAAACCAGAGTTTGATCCTGCGTAGGGAGAATTCTAGTCGGGTATCTGATTGGTCTTTCTGCCCGGCCGTTGTATCCCTTTCAGGCAGAGTTGGTCTTAAAAGGCAGGGTTGAAGCCCCTCTCCTAAATGATCTAGAGAGTTTCTATGGGGGCGTGAATAAAAAAAATATTAACACCTGCTGTAGGAAAAAAGATGTACCCCTCGCCCGCTCCCCACAAGAAGATTTATAAGTAAATCATAAAAGGAAGGAATTAGCAAACAAACAAACAAGTTGATGAAGATAACAAATTATGATAAATAAATAGAAAACATATTAAAAAACAAGATAAAGTTTTTAATTTGGCTGTATAGATACATCTTTTGAATCTATTTCTTATACTTTCATTATCTATCTACTTTTTAATTTACACGTTTATCATCACTACCATTTGATATCACCAATGACCGCTACAGCAGAAACAGATGAAAATTTAAAACAAAAATACAAAAAAACAAAAAAAAACTAACAACGAAGATTTCATCAATGTAGGGGAAGTTAGTCAAAAAGCGCACTACAGCAGAACTACCAGTACAGGCAATAAACAACAACAACCACCACCACCACAACAACAACAACAACAACAACGACATGATTAACAAAAACTAAACATTATCAACAAAAACAAAGTATCGACAACAACAACAACAACAAATATCAACAACAACAATATCAACAACAACAACAACAACAACAAAACATCACCACCACCAACAGCAGCAGCAATAACAAAGCATCATCAACATCACCAACAACAACAACAAAAACAATAAACCACCAACAAAGAATGATAACGAAATAACAGTGACATCACTCTAATCCCAAATAAGGGATCACCAGACTTCTTCACCTGGACAAATACAAAAGGACTAACAAGAGGCATTAGATCTCAAGGCCATTATTC